CTGAGGTCAGGAGTTCGAGATCAGCCTGGCCAACATGGTGAAACCCTGTCTCCACTACAAATACTAAAATTAGCTGGGTGTGGTGGCAGGCACCTGTAATCCCAGCTACTTGGGAAGCTGAGACAAGAGAATCGCATGAACCTGGGGGGCGGAGGTTGCAGTGAGTAGACATGGTGCCGCTGCACTTCAGCCTGGGCAGCAGAGCGAACTCTGTCTCAAAAACAACAACAAAAATACCCACACAAAGGTAAAAGTCAATTTCACAAGAGATAATCAGTCATGATTAATGGCTCCTAATTCCTCTGAGGATGGCACATTATTTTACTTTTGGTAGCAGCAGTATGGTCTGGAAAGCAAATGATTAACTACTACTAAATTCTACTACAAAGAAATACCACTGTAGGTTGTTGAAAATATTTTCCAGTGTGTTACCAAATTTAAAATGAAAGCTATGGGAAGATGTCCACTTCCATATAACATGTGTAATGTCTGGAAAAAGCTGACCATACGGTATACTAACAATGCAGGCAGAGAATGTATAGTCAATATAGGTTTCGCTAGAATAGACCAGGTAACAGAAGTGAGCAAAACAAAGGAGAACTGGTAGAAAGGAACCACCATCCCCCTTCCTCATAAGCACTTTTTATCCAAAGCACTTAATAATGAATTAGCTCTCTGCATATTTTTGGCTTGAGTGACTTGCCCAAAGTCACCAAAGGCGGTGGCAGAGCCAGGCACAGAATCTAGGTCTGTTTCTTTGGTCAATATATATGTCTTCTCTTACACTAAAAGAAAATTCAAAACAAAAGCCAGGCGCTGTGTGCACTGCAGCTGACTATGAAATTCTTAGAATGGTAAACCAAAATCCTCATCAAAAGACATAAATAGTATAAACACTCTTACTTGTTTTAGCACCTGAAGTACCAAAGGCACTTGATGAGGGTAAAGCAACCCCTGAGACATTAACGATAAACATAACTTTGCATCTCTTTTCAGTTCATCGTAGCTATTGTCATTTTCCACTGGGGCAATCTAAAAAACAATGTAAAAAGGACAAAAAGGGAAAAATAATTGCCAGTAAGTACAAAGGCATCCTACATGAGAGATAATACATCTTTACTTTAAACAATTTTTATGGAAAAGTTCAAACATATAGAGAATAGTAAAATGAACCCCCAGGAGCCAATCACCTCTTCAATAATGACAAACTCATAATCTTTTGTTTCATTTCTGCTCCCCTGTGACTCCCATTCCCCAATGAAATTATTTGAAGCAAATCCCTATTTTATCCTAAATATTTTATTATATTATTTCTAAAAGGTCTCTTAAAAAAGAATCATGTAATGGACATCATCACACATAAAACTTCATTACAGTTATAATATAAAATATGTAGCAGTACTCAGATTTCCCCAATTACCGCATTCATGTGTTATTACAACTGGGTTTCTGAAATCAGGTTTAAGATAATGACCATATATTGTACTTACTTCGTATGTTTCATAAATCTCTTTCAACGCATATATTCCCCCTACTATCTTAAAATCCCTTGCTCTGTATTTTTTTCCTTGAGAAAAAAGGCTGTGTCTGCTGTTTTGTAGTTTCCCCCACTGTGGCCTTCCCTGACTGCATCCCTGCAGTGGTATTCCTTGGCCCCAGTAAGTCTTATAAATTGGCTATTAGATGTAAAGGTCTGACTTTATTGAAGTTTACTTGGGCACAACATTAAGTGGTGCTATGTACTTCTTTCATTGATACTTAGTTTTGTCTTTCTGTGATAATCCATTACAAAAAGAGAGATTTGCGAAATGGTCATTCCTTCTTCATTATTAGCTAGAACACTTATATATATATAAAAGTTTTCCCTCATTCCAAATAATGATTTCCTGTCTGTCCTCCAAAAGTAAATAACAACTTTTAAAAGATTATCATTATGAATTCCAACAAATCTGATGGCTGTAGCCGCTGTCATTCTTTTTTTTTTTTTGAGACAGGGTCTTGCACTGTAGCCCAGGCT